TTTTTAGGTGTACCTCTTCGGGCTCTTGCATACCTTTTTCTCGTCAGATGTGTGCGTGTTCTTTAGATCCTCAGATGGCTCTAGCACTTTCGTGACCACGGGCTGAGAGTCTTTTGCTAGATTTTGGCATTTAGCAACTGACATACGGTTTAATGTGAAGACAAACAACAACAACAACAACAACAAGGTGTTCACCCAATTCAAATGACTAAAGATAGGGTGAAATCTTGTACTGTCTACCCGGTTCCGCCGGACACGCGTGAGGATCTACTGTACAGGTTGGTCTTTTGCAAAGGATGGCAATGTACACACATTGGGCATCAGACTCTTGCGTATTGATATTTCGAATGATGATTCTTCGTTCAGGCTCACTGCTGTGTCGAAGTATACTTCCTCTGTATCATAAGTAAGGGTACCTAAATGCAATAGATTGTCTGGGTGCAACCGTGTTAGTGATGGTAGCATAGTCGGGGTTGTAAGAAAGATACAACAAAGAAGAAGCGATGGAAAAAAAATAAAAAAACGAACACCTATTTCTGTATCTACTATTGGTCAAAATGTACCCTATTTTGGCCTGTTTTGGGAATATTTTTGAGAAAATATTTTGGGATATTTTTTGAGAATTCTCGACAAAATTCTCAAATCCATTTTACTACCCTCCTCTAGCGATGGAATCGCCCCCCAGCACACCACCTCGCAAAAGGGGCAACGAATTATCGGTTGGTAGGCGCTATGCCATGGCGGTAGAAATTGCGATGGGCATTCAGCCGGGGTTGTCAAGGATTCCCAAGGGCGTGCTTGACCCGATCTGCGAACGCTACGGTGTTGGAAAGAAGTACCCGTCCAAGTTGTGGAAACGGGTCAAAACCCAGATCGACAACACCCAGGAGCTGGACCTTTCAAACGAAGCAAAGTGGGCGGCCGTCGCTTCTCACCCCTTCAAAGATTGCGGCGGCATCGAGTCCAAGTGATGATGAGGAAGAATAGTCGACTTTTTCTTTTTTTTCCCCGCCACCAACCAACCCTTCTTTTTGTCCCGCAAGTGTCTTGATTTTAGTGTGACCCCCCAAGTGTCTTGGTTTTAGTGTATGACCCCCAAGTGTCTTGGTTTTAGTGTGGTTCACTACTGTACTGATTTTAGTATAGGGGGCGCGACATGGATCGTTGAGTAGAGGGGGGGGTTGGATGAGGGCCCTACTGTTGCTTGCTTTGCCCCGTAAGTGTCTTGGTTTTAGTGTGGCCCCCCCAAGTGTCTTCTTTTCAGTATGGGGGCCACTATTATGCTGTTTTTAGTATGGGGGACGCGTCATGGATCGTTGAGTAGAGGGGGGGCTAGGTTTAGGGTCAGGGATAATTCTTGGTATTTTTGCCTTGTTTTTGTCATTGCCCCGCCCCCCCCGCCTGGTCGGAGGGGGCAGAATACATGCAAAATGCGGCCTTTTTCAGGCCGACTGGTTTTTCTCGGGCGCTCATGCACGCGGGGTGGCGCATGCATATAAAATAAAATAAATATTTCTTGAAAAAACTACGAAGATTTCAACGAAAAAATCGAACAGATCGGACACGGTTAAGGGCCCGTACAAATTTAGTTACCCTAACTTATGATACAGAGGAAGTATATGCCAAGAGAGGCTATCTCTTGCTTACGATTTTCTGTTTTGCTGCAACCTGAAGTGTCCGGGGTAGTGGCTCCAGCCGTATACTTCGAAGCACTATGCTGTGGTTTCGTCAAGAGCAACGGAAAACTCTAAAAAACGATCTACTTCAACCACATGGGACCAGATAATCTTGTTTTTTTTTTCTTGGGAACCCATAAATATGGTGCAGATCTTGGTCAAGACCCTGTGCAACTACTTTAGTTGGTGGTTGTTTGCCTGACAACTACTCTTCGAGGAGCGTGCGCACCTAGTTGCCTGCAGGTAACTACTTTTCCAGGAGCGTGTGCACCTAGTTGCCTGCAGACACTTCTCTTCCGGGAGCGTGCGCGACTAGGTGTTCACGAACAGCTGTTCACGAACAGCTAGCCGGTGGTTGTCTGGCAAACAACTTACTTAGATAGTCATTGGTAACGTTGGAACATAAACTGAATGTTTTGAATGATGAGACTCCTTTTGCATGCCACGGGTAGACCAACGAGCCAGTACTGCTGTAGACGGCACTTGATGGACCACGTGATCCACATGCTCACCCTCCCCACGGTGTGGCATATCTAGTTGAGGACACGGCAGCAAATAGCGCCATCGCGCGAGTCCAGGTTACTTACGGTTGAACTCTGCTGGTTGAAACAGCTCGTTCGCCCACCGCTCAAGCTTGACGGGCACGGCCATCTTTTAGATGATGAGCATTATGAGCGAACAATACGAGGCGAGATTCCAGGAACAAAACTGCTGTACACGGCATGAGTGTATGTAAAGTATAGACTACGCCCAAAGGATATGAAGGAAAGGAAGTCGACTAGAACGTGGAATAAGAAACTTGAG